ACGTGGTGGCCATTTTGCGCCTCGCGTTGGTCGTCGAGGCGGTCGTGCACCGAGGGGGCCCTGAGGCGGTCGTGCACCGAGGGCTGTTTTGAGGCATCCCCGCGTCGTCGAGACACGGAGCTTTCGGCCTACTGTACCGCGGCAGTCTCGAGAAGGCCCCGGAGTTCGCCGTGGACTCGTCGCCCCTCCGTGGTAGAGGGCTCGGGCATCGCTCGGACCAGTATTGCCGCCGCAGCGACGTTCTGGCTAGCGCGATTGAAGACAGGGGGTTGCTCGCCCCCCTCATCATCGTTAATGCGGCGGTTGACGTCGCGAGCCCCCAACCGGGCCGTTCCGCCATCGCCGTGCCCCCGCTGCTCTTGCTCGAGGGTGGCTCGAGGCTGCTGCAGAGGAGTTGATCTTGCTCGACCTTGGCTTGAAGCTCGGAGGCGCTCTAGGTCTATCGTCGAAGTTGCTCGGGGGTAGGGACACCGCCATTTGTTGGCAGGGACCCGTGCGTGGTGGTGTGGCATTGGCTGCCCTTCCTCCATCGTTGCCGTGCTCGGCATTCCGAGTCCGATGTGGAAACACTCACGAGTCGGGTCGTAAGCGTCCTCGTCGTCGGAATCGAGTAGCCGGGCGATAGTCGCCACGATCATGAAGCGGCGACGCCGCCGTGGTCGCTGGCTCGGAGAAGTCTGCTCCAACCCACGCCTCGTCCTCCTCCGAGGAGTTAGAGTGGGGGTGGATTGGAGTTGTGACTATGGGGTTATGGGCATGACGTTGATGAATGGAGACGAGGGCGGTGGCGTAGGAGGATGGCACCGTCGCCAGGCTCTGCTCCGCCAGAGCTGGCTCCTCGGGAGGAGGCGGGACAGAGCTTGATGATGGGGCGTCGCTGTGCGCCACCGGCCCTTTTCCCCTGTCGAGGCTTAAGCCGGACAGGTCCCCGCGCAGGGACTCTATGCCAGCAGCGGGGTATGGGATTCCGGTGGAACACATCGATCGTTGTTCAGTACTTGCGCGGTGTTAGGTGGACTTCGCGCCTGGCGGGCGCTTGGCGAGCTTGACGGGAGCGGCGGCCCGGGCGCCGTCTACGCGTGGGCTGCCGGTGCATGACGTCGTCGTCGGTTGATGGCGCTCTGGGTGAGAGGAGTACCATGTCGTACTCGTGCCCTAGAGACATGAATTCTAGGCTCCCAAACAGACGATCATCCCGAGACGCATAACGATCGCGCGGGATCTGCCATCCGGAATCGGTGGGATGACTAAGCTAACACGTAGAGGCCCCTACCGGCGCTGCAGCTGCCGGCGTTTTGAACCGGGGTCCTTAACCGACTAGTGAATTTGTGCTGCGTGCTCCCAATTCCGGATGGTGATGCAAAGAGACACAAGGTTTATCTTGGTTCGGCAATAGATGCCCCACGTCGATCCCGAGAAGATGTTCTTGTATTCCTTGCACGGGGTGCTGCTCGTAGTAGGGGTTATAATTTGGGCGAGAGAGGGAGTTCGTCCTGGTATCGTGAGGGGAGGTGATATGAATTACGAATGAGGCGTGTTGTTGATGCGAGTATTCGTGACTCTATCCGCCCTCCCTAGAAAGCGGTCTGGCCGCCTCCTTTTATAGCCGCGAGGAGGAAACCAGAGTACATAAGAGAGCTACACGTGGAGCGGACTATTCGATGACGTATTTACTCGGAGCAAAGCATGGCGTTGTCGTGGGAGTTCCGTAGATGTCTAATCGGTATGGTCTCCACTGCAAGTAACATGCTACGCATCTGTTGGCTTGGTGGATTGCGAAGCTTCGGCGGCCATCATAGCCGGTCGTCTTGCGAGGCCTCGCCAGGCCGAGGGCACGAGAAGTGACCAGTGCGATATGCGGTATCGGCGGCCATCAAAGTGAATAAAGGCGAGACATGCGCGCCTCGAGGATCTGGTACTGTGTTGTCGATGGGATGGTAAAAAGGTGATCTAAGCTGTTGTCCCGTCGCTCATTGCGGGCAAGACCGCCGATCGTGGCTTACGAAGTGTGCAGGTGCGGTGGATTAATCGGATGCGACGGACTGCCGGAGAGACCTTTGAGGCGGAGGCGACAAGGTTGCGGGGCGAGCCCGCCTCAGCGTAGGCGGAGCGCGCCAATTCGTCCCGAGGCCCTACCAGGGGTCTCGGGCGAGGCGACGGCGAGGCGGAGAAAGATCAGTGAATCCGAGGCCCCATCGAGGGGGCTCGGGCGAGACGGAGCGGTCGGTCCGCTGATTCCAAGGCTACAGGAACCCGTTCTGACTCCCCACGTTGCGATGTCTTTGGTGTAGGAGTTAGGCAGCACAGTGGTCGGTAACCCCTGCTCTGTGCCATCGCAGATGGCAGGAGGTTGACGCGACCGGGCGTGTAGTCGGTCACTTCTTTCAGATTGTGCCATCATCGTGCGTCTGTCGGAGTGGTTGGGCGCTTGGATGCGACGTTCGGTCGAGCAGATTGATTCGGGCGCCCGCCATTGCTTGACCCCCCCCCTCCCCCGCCTCGGCGCCCTGTCCCTGCTGACCAAGGATTCATGGATCCAACAAGGGATGTCGTCGATGAGGCCTCCATGCAATCTAACCCTCGACCTCCTGCTTCACGTGTTCATCATCTAACCCTTGACGCTTGTGTTCGGTGGGGATATTTGTTCTCCTCATTTTATGTCACTCTAGTTTTGAAATGAATATTTGGGATCCAAAATGAATTCAAATGAAAAATTTGTCAACTACAAAGTTTTATAACTTTTTGAGGTCTACAACTTTGTTTTTGGTCATTTCTCCATCCGAGGTCATCATTTGAAATTTTTGAATTTCAAATGTGAGAAAATTCAACCGTAATTTTGCTTAGATAGATGATTTCAAATGAAAAAGTTGTCAACTACAAAGTTGCATAACTTTTCAACATCTACAACTTTTGTTTTGTGTGTTTCTCCATCCGAGATGGTTTGAAAAATTCAAATTTAAAATTTGAAAAATCAAACGTAATTTTTGTTAGATAGATAATTTCAAATGAAAATGTTGTCAACTTCAAAGTTTCATAACTTTTCGAGATCTAAAACTTTTGTTTTGAGCGCCTCTCCATCCAAGATCCTTAAATATAACTACACACTCACTTATGACTATGGAACATATGGCTTTAGTTGGTGATATCTTCTATGAAATCTTGCGAATCAAATAGATGGACATCATAATGACTCCAGACAAAAAAGTTGTGGACTACAAAGTTGCATAACCTTTTGAGATCTACAACTTTTGTTTTAGGCGCTTCTTCATCTGATATCCTTAACTACCACTTCGCTGTACTGTGCCATCGTGCGTCTGTCGGAGTGGTTGGGCGCTTGGATGCGACGTTCGGTCAGAGCAGTTCGGTCGAAGAGGCGGTCACGGGGCTGGTCCCGAGCCGGCCTCGCGCGAATCGGAGAATTGACACTTCTTCCGAGGCCCCGGGCGAGGGGGCTCGACGAACGGGCCTCGACGAGGGGGCCTCGGCGAGGCGGTCTCGGGCGAGTCGGAGAATCGTTTGCTTCCGCTGGGGCTCGGCGATGGGGTCTCGGGCGAATCGGAGATTTCGGCCGAGACCTCGTTTGTTTATTCCGTTGGTTCTGTTTTTAGGGTCTAAGCAGTTTTTCGATCTTTGCTTGGGGTACCCCATTTTCTGGTATCCGACACTATCTCTAATAGTTCAAGCCATGGAGTACCACCTGCTATGCTGCTGCAGATGTCCGTGGTGCTCCCTGTCATAACATAAATGTTCCTGCTGCTGGAATACCCAATTTAGACATCCCACGCCTCCTGGATTTGTTATTTGAGCCGCTAGATGATCTGACTGGCTCGCATAGAGAGAGAGAGTACGGGGTTTCTTTTTTGAGTTTGATCACACACTCTCTCAGAACAAAAGGTCCATTGAGAATTCTATTGCAAACATTGTGAGAGCCCAGTTTCGGTTAGCTGATCAATGTCGTTCATTCATTCATGAACTCGTGGCATCACAAACCCGGGACACCAACATTCCAGGTGACACTTCTAGGACAATGCATACATGCAACGATCATGGTACCCGTGAATCAGCCCATTGTACCCCGCCTTCAATGTTAGGCAAACTCTTGCTTTAGTTGATAAATTCGTTATCTCACCCTGTGTCTTATTGCTACGTATCAAATATAGTCACACATTTTTTCCATTTATGCCCAGGTCATGAGATTTATTCTCATGGTAGCTTTGTTTCTGCTGGTACTTTATTTCGGAGCCAGATTGATGAACAATCACCCGTTCGCAACACTCCAAGTATTGTCTACTTCCCCGATTGCATGTTTTTTTATCTCCATTCTTTGCTATTTCTATTTGTTTTGTTATGTCATTTTCGTTATGTTTCATGTCTTCTACATTTGTAGGTCCTAGTTCATTTAACCCCACTTCACCGACAGGCCCATTTGGCTCCCCTGTTCATTGTATAGTTTCACCCCCTCACATTTCTGAGGACTTACCTCGTCCATCAACTGCACCGATGCGCACCTCTTCAAAAGATGTTTCTGGTGCACCCCTCATAGTTTGTTTTTCCTCATATTTTCGACTATTGTTCCATTGTGCTAACTGCATCACTTTTTTACTATCCTTTATTATGATTTCTCTTGACTGATACTTCAGTTTTCTCACATGCTCCTAACTCTTTTCCCACCTCAGGTATGTCCACGGCCTCCTTTTCATGTTTACAATTTAGTTCTTACAGCAAACTGAAATTATATATTTTATTTCCTTTTCGTCCACACAGGTTCCTTCATTGTCACAAATGATCCTACTGTTCATCCTAACAGTCCAGTTCACACTCCGATTATGGCTCCAGTACGAAGCACCACCTCGGAAGACGGCAGCCCAACACCTTCTCCACACGGTTACCATGCTTTTCTTTTTGTTTCATAGTTTTCCCCTCAATTTTATGTCTGCTATTTTTCATCCTATGTACTTTCAGCCAATGAGTTCGATTATTCCCCACTTTTTCTGTCAACAATGGACCAATCAGGCCATCAACAATCATCGTCTATTGTGACCAGCCGTACAGATGTGAGTCCGTCTAACGTTCTTCCAAAACTCATTCCACCCTTCTTTTTAAATTAACAACTAAATTACATTTATACAACATCTATCATTTTCTTAGTTTCAATATTCCTGAGGTGGCATCTACTACTAGTTTCCTGATTTTTCTCTTTTTGGTAGACTGAGTTGGTACAAAATGATCCTCCTTTACATAGAGGCCGAATTATTCATGTAAGTGCACCTATCTGTTAATTCAATAACATGAGTTTTGTATACATGCTTGTGTTTTTGGTACCATCCTGAATGCTGTTAGATAACATTTTACTGCCACAAGTCACTGGTTTTCTGATTCATCTGAAAAGGGATGCCTTTTGTCTTGTACTTAGTGCACAGTCATTTTCATTGACATGTCAATGTCGACAGCACCCTTCATTTGATTTTGAACTTGTAAAGCAATTTTCTAATACTATTCTACTGTTTTTATTTGAACATTCAATTATTTGTCCACCACACCTTATTTCATTTTCCTATTTGTTATTCAGTTAGTCATGTATGTCTCAATTCCAATTTCAATGTCAGCCCCTCTTTTGATTTTTAACATGCACACTATTATTTCATTGCTATTTTACTGACTTAGCTTCTTGTTCTCTCAATAAATCTAAAGTCTTTTATTTCGAGTTTTAAATTATATTGATCAAGAATCTTATCTTTTTTTCTTCTTTTAGCCACAAGGCTTCTCTTATACTGAAACTATTCCTACCTCATCTGTCTCCCACCATTCCCGTTCTGAGCATAACTCTCCTTATGCTCCTGAACTTCCTGAAGCATGCAGTATCAAAACAATCGGAAAAGACACCACTTTTGCATTAAAGTGGCCGATTCTAGATGATCTGCCTATGTTCAAGTTTCCTGGAAAGAGACTAACCAAGAAGCCATCCAAATTTTATTCACCCTTCAAGCATGGCATTATGTCTCGTCCTCCACCCAATTTAGAGTTTTCTTTGCGTATGCATGCCTTCCTTTGTGCAGATGACTCTCCATTGAAAAGGTTCATTCTAATTTCATTTTCAAGCTTTCATTCTTTTCCTTCCATACTCCAGAATGCTTATTGAATTCCATTCAAGAAAACTTTGATGCACTTTGGGACAGAGTCATTGACTGGCCGAGATATTACACTTTCCTTTGGTATTGGGAAATTCATAGACCCTGTGTTCATGGATGCATTTGTCAAATGCATAGCTGAAGATGACTTTAATGTTCGTCCTGAATGCCATGGGTTCAGAATATTCCTACAACCTCTTGTCTCGGTACGTCTCCCTCATTTTTCAAACTAATCATTTCAAATTTTATTTTTTGATTACAACATTGATAACAATCCAATCATACTGTACAGGATATTCTTAAGTCAGACTCCTTCAGTATTCACAAACTCAGCCTCAATGCAGCCAGGACATTGTACTAGAAACTATCAAGCGATGCCTCCCCACGACTGACTTACAAAAGGCAAAGATGGTATGTGTATCACGAGTACATTTTTTTTCTTTCTTGCTTTCATCCCAGTAGTATACTGCTAAAATCGTATTTTTTTCGTATACACTTCTTGCAGATATTTCTTCCGGTTTTACATCTTAGTCACTGGTCTGTATATTGTATCAATCTTGGCCAATCCCGTGTCGATGTCCTAGACTCAATGAACTATACTTCTAACAATGAGGTCACATGGGATACATATCATTCACCTATGGGCCAAATACTCATGGAACGCCTTAGTGCTGCACTATCTTTAGCTGCACCCCGCAAATTCCCCGAATTTGCAAACTAGAGACGTGTACCAATTCGGGTTCCATTTCAAAATAATATCTGCGACTCTGGCATATTCTCCATGAAGTTTATTGAGTTCTATGACGGTGAGGGCCATGGTTCTCTTCACACTACTCTAGATCCGGTATGAATCCTTTTTCTTGTTAATATATCCCTCATTTTATTTTTTGTTCTGTCTAACCTTTTTTCCTTGCAGGATCGATCAAAGGAGATGAGGGCAGAAATGCTACAATATCTAGCCTTTCATACTGCCAACAAAGTCCATGCTCCTCCTGTGCTTCTTCAATTCCGTATTGGAGAGTTCCATCCTTCTTTCCATCCTCTCTTTTATTAGTGGAAGGCAGTTTTATTCCTGAAGATGCTCGTCATTCTAATCCTTCACAGCCTCAAGGTCCACTCCCAGAATGTGCATTTATTTTGTCCAACATCACTTTTCCAAGAAGAGAAGTTCATCCACAACTAATTCCAAGCCTGGTTGGGCAGCAGCAGATAAGGAGATCAAGACGACCAAGGTGGCAAGTGAAGAAGCAACAGGAAACTCTAAGGATGAAGCCAAGTTATTTTAGATGCAACAAAATTAGCTGGTCACACTTTTGGACACTGCATTACACTATGTAGCTTTTGAGCAAGGCATTGAGTAGTTCTGTCTTGCCTTTTTGTTCATATCAGCAGCTTTTGTAAATTTAGAAGCGTCAAAACAATATACATGCTATGTTGTGCTTATCAGGTTTGATGCATCAAAAAAAATTGGATGGAATCCTGTTCAACTGTAATCCATTCAGCTAATACAGAGGCCAGGAGAACTTATTTATCCTCTTTTCTCACTCTTTGTTTTTTATGCAGATCTCAGGCGCTCGCCATCAAAGCATCCTCCATCTACTCCCCATGATTACTCACATAGGTAGTTTCTTCTACTATTACTGATTTATTTGTGTGCTTAATTATGGTTGAAGATTTACAAGAGTATAAATATTGCATTTGTTTCCTTTGGAAATTAACTTCTTTTTCTGCCTTGCTAATTTTCCAATTTTACACATTTAATTTATGGCGGCTGTAGCTTCCAAACCATTAACACTAGTTATTTCTTATTTTTGTCATTTTAGTTAGCTTTCCACCAGTACGAGACGTCTTCTTCTTCTGCACTCCATCAGCAACAGTGGCATGCCAATAGCACGAAAATGGTATGCTGGACAATGCTCTACACTTTTTGGACTTATCACTGTCTCCACCAATCATAAATTTGGTATTGTTTTTATGATTTATCTATCTTGATCTATGTATGCACTTGTTGATATTATAGATTTAAGGTTTCTTACTGTTAATCACTGTGGTATGCTTTTGACAATTGCATGTCTGACCACCTGATGCTCATATGCTCTTGAATCCCAAAGCTGATAATTGTTGTTTAATAGGCATGGTCATAGTGCATGGGTGCATGTAGTGGACAAAGGTGGTTGTGCACCTAAATAGGCTTTAGTTAGTTTCACGGAATGATCCGAACCACTCAATTCTGATGGGAGAAATGGCCAGGCATGTAAATTTTTCAAACCTCTCTCGCATGTACTAGATTATACATATTAGAGAAAGTTCAGTTAATGGAGAGCGTATGAAACCAATTTAGAAAAGAGGAAACATGGCAACAGGAAGCAAAGGAAACAAAGGAAAAGGAGTATCGATGCGGATCGAGATAGAAGGAACGTTCAACATGCGGATGGAGATAGAAGGAAAGTTGGATGAGAAGTGGAAGTAATCATGTCATTATTTTGCTTTTAATTTAGTTGCATAAAGAAATGAGAACAAGTGCAAGGTTGTTGATGCCTTTTTTTAATGAAATTGCATATATATTATAGTTCTAACAAACGAGGAGTATGGTGCTTGGATTGGTGGAAGGAAATGATGGATTTATACAAAGATGGAAAGGTGTGTTGTTTACTTGAATAATATATTTTTGTATGGTGCAATTGGACTCATTTAATTTAGCTTTGGCGAGGAACATGGTAAATTGGGTGTTGTAAACTTTGATATGTTTAACACATGCAGGATTTGGAATTACCATTAGAAATGAAATGTAGACCAGCATGGTTTGAGAAGATGCAAGCAGCAGCAGCATATGGGACTTCGACACTCAGCAGGGAAGAAAAAGAAGATATGGCTGCAAGGTTTCCCACCGATGAGGAGCAGTACGATGAGACGCATTGGTACAATCGGGCTTGGCATGATGTATGGGATGAAGATGTGTGGGGCTTGTGCGCTATATGCGGATTTCAACACCATGATCCAAAAAATTGTCCATCTCCATTGAAGATGCGGCAGGAGCTAGATGGAACGTTGGATGAGAAGTGGAAATAAGCGTGTCATTGTGTTGCTTTGAATTTAGTTGCATAATTAAATGAGAACAACTGGAAGGTTGTTGATGCCTTTCATTTTTTTGTAATGAAAATGCATATTATGAAATTGTGTTTCAAATAACAAAGAAATTTCGTCTCTAATGTGAGTAAGTGGATTGAAAATGTATATGGGTGTCATGATGAAAGTGTTGATGAAGCTGGCCTAGTTTAAAACGGCATAATATGAACAATCAATTTTCTATTAAATCATTCTGGTAACTTGACAGTATATATTTGATCCATGTAATGTCGGTTGCATAGAAATGACTTGTCTATTTTTATGACATGAGGTGTTGTACACATGAAGATATGAAGATTTTTTGAATTACATTTTTGTATGTTGGGTTATTCGTGAATTGATGCATGTATGGAAGCGCATGTATGCATGCGCAAAAAAGTGGCCGGTTACATATTCCCAGTTCAGTTGAGCTCCAGGGTTGTACTCCAGCTTTTAATCGGACGAATCTATAAACTACTTGACGCCTACACTGGTCATGCGGAGTTTTTTTTTTCTTTCGGTCGTTGGAGTGGGGTGTGCGGAGGCCACAGGTTGTGCACGATCATGGCTACAAGCTTGTTATGTACTTGGCGTAGTTAGCGGCACCAAAAAAAAAAGACATGATAAAAATGAATGGTTGCATGAACTGTTACATTCGGAACAATATAAGTGCATCAAAACATACAAAAATGACTAAATTCATGTGCTCCTCTTTACAAATAATGAAAAAAAATCTATTGCCCAAGACAAGAATGATAACATTTGATGGTAGTGTGGAACCAACGTGAGCATGGTAAACAAACAAACATTAGACGACATCAAATTACTTATACATCCCAAATGTCAGAACACACGCCACTTGCAATGCACATTAGAGTATTATGACCAGATTCTGAATCTGACACTTTTAGAAAAAAAAAATTCAATGATTGATAAATCATACCACCAGCTAAAACTTCATCACATCGTAACAACCCCTTCTCATAGCATTTTGCCGTGACGCATGGCCCCTCCAACCACTCACTTTGTATTACTCCCTGCAATCCTCTTCATTTTTCTCCCTCGTTGTCACTATCTAGACCAGTATAGGTGTTTTCTGCGACTACCTTCTGTCGTGTCTTCACTCTATTGTCTTCCTCGTCGCGATCAGTAACATGCTCCCAGCTTACCTTTTTATTTTTAGCCCCTGGTGGCCTCCCTCTCTTTTTGTTCTTCATTTCTTCAAGCCTCATTCTATTATGTTCCAAGCTGAGGCACGTCCGCGCATTATGTGTAGCGTACTGCCCACAAGCCTTGCACTTTCTCGTGCCCAATTTCTCGCCTAATGCTCCAAGGGTTACTGCTGCCTTCTCTGACTCTGTCTTGTTCCTGCCCTTAGGCTTCGCTTTTTCAGGAGGCACCAGGTTTATCAATGTTGTCACATCCTGCAGACACAAAATCAGGTTTGTCAATCCTTTAGAATATAAGTTTCAGAGTAAGAACAAATGCACACATCAACTAGTGCCCAACGTCTCTTGATTTCCATGTTTGCTCATCTACCTGTTCATGTTGTGACCCTTCTTCACTTGTTGCTGCTGCTGCCTTTTTCTTCCCTATTTCTTTATTGCAATCCAGCACATGGCTAGCCTCAACTCTACATGTGGTCCCAGATTCCTGGCACATGTTTTTCATTTAGCAGTCCATAGAATCAACAAAAATCAACATCAACCCTTTCTTACAATTCACTTGAAAGCCTATAATCATGTCTATACTACTACAGATTTATTTCAAATCAGCATGAAGATCATGGTACATTATCAAGCCAAATACAGTAGAGCACATGAACTATGCCATATGTTGCATTCATTCATGATGGTGTAATTCACAAAAATTATGTGATAACATCAAGTCAACACGGTAGTCTCCACACTGATTCACCAATTTTTCAGATTAAATGAATAACTAGTTAACTTGTAGTTGTGCTTGTCAAGCATGACAAAATCTAAAGCTAATCAGTTATGCTTGTCAACTGAAATGGAAACAATGGAGCACTACTGCTAATGAAATGTGTTTCTTAGTAACTAGTTAATACAACTTCCTAAACAAGGAATTATATGACTAATCTTAAACCAGCTACTTCCCCTACACATTTTTTTCTTTACCAACTCATTCTCAAAAAAAAAATTCTTGGCAGGGATCAAAAATAGGATTCAGATGTTCCATTGCAATCACAAGCAAACTGACACATATTGTACAACTAACTTTATTTTTTCTATTTCTAAAATAGCTAAGTGCTATGGTGAAATTTCAAGCAGCAGTAATATAGGATCTGATATAGCATTTGAAATAAACCAAAATCTACATCTCCATTTCACCTTTACCTTTATTTCTGCTGCCTTCATTTGTTTTGAACAACCTCCATGTAGTAACTGGTTCGCAGCTGGTAAAATTTTCTGTCCACAATTCCAAATATATAGTCCAGAATTAACATATATGGTTCACTAAGGTTCACCCCCACTTGCTTCATTACTTAATGTAAAAAAAACATACCCGTGTTATCCTTGTCTCCTCACATCTTCCTTCTTCAATGCCATCGTCGCTGCTGCTATCTCTAGAATTGTCCTACATGCCATATATAATTTAGAGACTTCCTTTATTACTATATGTACATTAAAATAGTTCTTCTTTTACTAACACGTCTTTACCTTTGTCCTTGATGGACCTTGTCCCTTCCTCGCTTCTGCACCAATGTCTGGGGGGATATTGTCTATTTCCTTCGTGACATCTTCTAAAGCTTCGAGCAATCTTCTGTAAGCAGCGTTAGACATGCTCCCTGATCTGACCGCCTTCATAGCTTTTGGTATTAGAGTCTTTGTTCTATAGCTTTGTGTGTTGCCGTCCTCCCCGGTTAGAAGCTTGTCGCTCGTATCAAAGTCAACCTCCCTCCTAGCGAACCTTGTATAGCGCTTAAAAATGTATTCACGTGGAATCTTGTCTACTTGGACATGAATGAAGGCACGCAAAAGGTGCACGCAAAATAGTCCTGCATCAACAACAACTTTCAGTACCGACATAATTCCATGAATCCTTTAAGATACTAGTGTCTTTCCACAATACCAGTGTGCTCCCACTCCCTGCACTCACAACTGTATGTCCCGTTGACTTTATCTGCCTTCACTTTGAACTTGTGTTGTCCCCAGCTTATCACTTCTGACCTATTCGTGTGACAAACCCTGTACCAATGCTCGCCTAGCTCTGGATCATCCTCTATGTTGTATGCGGTGCAATTGACCATTTTTTTCGAAGTTTCTGAACACTACCCGTGTATATATCCTTCCTAGTTGAACCTCAAATGGCCATTTGTTCTTGGTAAGTGTCTTGCTTTGCATCAACAAACGACACAATCGAAACATAAGTTTTTGCATAGTGTACTACCATTTCAATCACAGTACATTCAATGTTTAAATTAGTTTTACCGTTGCAAGGTATGTTTCAGCTCCCTCCTTCATCTTCCGTGTCTACATGAAATCTAGAGTACGCTTTGCAAACTTGTGCAAACATGTCTGCTTTCCCACAAAATTCTTCTTAATCGCATAGTTACTGCTCTCACTACGCTGTGTCGATGTCATCATCCCACAGTAATCATCTTTAAAGAAAGCTGGGATATACCTAGCTTGTTGCCGGAATAAGCTCTCCATAGTGGCATTTCCTTGCAAATCAAACTCTGTTATCAGTTCTTCCCATGCTCTCTCAAATTCGGCGGGTGTCAGGGGGTGGTTCAGCACCGACTTGAATTTGTCCTTGAAGTGTTGTTTCTCATAAAGGCTGAATATCTCATTCAGGTTCGGCATATGCTTGTTAACCACATGCCACCGACAAATCCTGTGGATGACACCAGGGAATTCCAGTCCTATGGCCACTTCCATTGCCTGATCCTGATCTGCCACACATAGGAGCATGAGGATCATTAACTTAATACAACCAAAATAGCTTGAAAATTTTTTTCATTCTACCTTCAAGGTGTTTTCCACTTTTTTAAATAGTTTTACTTTACCTGTGATAATGCACCTAGTCCTATGTCTTCCCATGCATTTCTTGAAAGCTTGAAATACCCATTGGAATGTTTCTATTGTCTCATCACCAAACAGCGCACATCCAAAATATGTGTTCTGTAGGTGATGGTTTGCACCCACAAACATAGCTAGTGGCTTCTCATATATATTTGTCTTGTGCGTGGCGTCGAATGTCATCACATCTCCAAAATCAATATATTCTGCCTGCATGCTAGCGTGACTCAAGCTATGAATCATCCCTTCTTTATCGATCTTGACATACCAACAAAATTGTGGGTTCTGCGCCTTGCAGTCTTCAAAGAATTCTAGAAGCTTCGCAATGTCATTGGCATGTTCTACCCTCACATTAGCCGCCTTCCTGCAAAATTTGTTACTATTACACAGATGTAATCGACAGTACCTATTTACTGGATGGTATAAGAGTTGGCACACACTGACCTGTTCTCAAGATCCCGCCTGGTCATTGGCACGTTCTCACCTCCCCCATGCATGTCCCTAACAATGTTCTGTATACTATGATGCGGGACATCCGCTGCTTGGAGGTCATCAACAAACTCAAGTAATACCGGATCCTTTTCCTTGTGTGATCTCATATTTATTATTTCTTCTTTCTTTTTAAGACATGGATGGTTATGCATTAGATCCACTTGCTCAATCACCACTGATATTTCATTCTTGTTTTCATCATAAATTCTTTTAAGCTTCATCTTCGACATGCAGTGTGTCTTCTTTGTGGTATTGTACCTAACACGCAGCTCCTCATTTTTTTTAAAGTAAGTATGAACCCCCTCATTGCTGCACTGTATAATATATGAATATGTTTTACTGTTTTCATAGCTCAAATTGAATCCAACCTCCTCGGCGTACGCTTCATAGAAAGCCCTGGCCTCTTTTCGGTTTCTGAATGACATCCCAGGCCTAGGAATGAGGGCAGGATCAATGTCTTCTTTCTGCATACAACATATGCAATTAGATATTTCCATTTTCCACCAAGAGGCAATGCAAAATTGCTCGAATTTTTATCTCAGTCAAAATAGATTACAGTGAATTTCAGCCTATATAAGACCTCAACATGTCTGGTTCATCAATCTAATATTGTAAGCATGCACATTACAGCCTATGTCAAGTTTGTACATTTACTTTTTTCATTATTTCTCAAGTTTGAATACTTCTCAGCTCTATTTTCTGAATCCCATCATCACAACTTTGATCATTTGGTAATTTTGAAACCTAATTTTATTTCATATTCACATAGCAGAATCTTCGAACTTCTTATTCAAATGTCACAAACAAGCTACTCACATGGGTGTACTTCTTTTCGGCATCTGGTGTAGCGTTCTCGCTTTCTGTAACTATTGCCATTGGTGAGAACATGCCTCTGCTGGATGATGTTCCGGCTTCTGAAATGCCAGCCACAACATCCTCGTTACGGCCTGGTGTGCACGATGATGTTCCACCTTCTAAAATACATGCCGGTAACCCATCGTGACCTTGTCCTGATCTTCCATCTGCCACAGCCACATTAGTTGTGTGTATTGTCTGCGATGCTGACGATTCAGTCACAACCCCTTTACAATTGCTCTTCTCTCCAAACAGCTGCTTCCGGCAACCCATTCTGATTTAATAACTTTACAGACTAGTGGCGGAGCTTCGATTCATTCAAATCATCATTAATCTGATAAACATCACAGAAACATATAAGGATTACTGCATAGCCATAAATAAAGGCTATGTGAAACATAAAACAAGCACACATTATTACTTCTGATCTCATCCACTACAAGTGAAGAAGTGAAGACATCACCCGCAGAAGCATTGCTCCACAAGATAAAATTCATCTCGTTCACTCAGCTTGTTTAATTTGGTCACAAATCGTGCCAGGTAGGTCATTAAAAATGATGTACCAAAGAAATCTCAGCTTTCTATGACAAGTTCATGTATCATGAACAGTTAACACCAACTTTGGAACTACTAAACATCAATAATGTTTAACTTATGATTCATCTTGAAGTAACATCCAGTAACCATTCAAATATGATACGACTATAGGACCTTCAATTAAGAGGCTAAGAGGCTGAGTTTCTATCCTAAACCCACGCGCTGTAAAAGGATATTAGAGCGTTCAGAGGCATTCATAATTTGATAGTTGGGCCTGTACATTTCACAGATGATTTACTGATTTAGTAAAGATCACTGGAGGTAGACAGCTGTGACTAATGTCTGAACTCAGGGTAGATGTATTGCTGTGCAGTTTCTTGTGGATTTACTGTATTGTGTTTATTAATTCAAAGGTATTGAACACATGAATACTGATGGGAGCACTTGTTGAACTACGAATACGTGATATGTTACTCTTTTCAAATGAAGCAGCTAGTTCATGATGGTAAATAAAATATTTCACATGGACATTGAGGGACCTGTGATTCTGATTAAACACAAGTATGGAGAATATATTATTTCTTAAAGACTGGATATCTGTAATTGATTGAAGCTGAATATAATATCATCTTCATGATGGTAAATAAAATATTTCACATGGAAATTGAGGGACCTGTGATTCTGATTAAACACAACTATGAAGAATATATTATTTCTTAAAAACTGGATATCTGTAATTGATTGAGGCTGAATATAATATCATCTTCTAAAGTTCTAATATTGAAACAAACATTGCTTTCAATGACTTCGGAGCAGCAAAGCATGGCGTATAGTTTCATACTTCCATAATGTGCTTGCCTTTTAACAAAGAGTACCCATATCAGGGAATCTAATAGTGAAACCAATTTGACACAAAATTAATGGGAACAACAAAGCGAGATACATGAATAAGGATATATAAAGGAAACCTGAGGAACCAGGCGGCTCCATCCCAAATGATGCAAGCTCGGTAATCAACGAGTGTAATCGGCAATCAAGGGCCGGCGCGATGCGTCTGGGAATGCACAGCGCAGGGAGCTGCTTCTTACAACGCTGAGCGGCAACACGGCAGGGCGGGACGCTGGAGAAGGCCAGCCGAGCATGTCCGACCGGGCGGCGTGCTGCCTCTGCGACCGACCGGCGCTGGGGGGAGGAACGGCGGGAAAGGCGTCGGAAGGGAGTTGCCGGCGATGCGACGGCGAGATCGGATCCAAGCGAAACCGAGCGGACGCCGGACGGGCGAAGGACGACGGCGAGCTACTCAGCGAGAGCGGCGGCGACCTGGGGTGTGCGAGCTGCGGAGGCGCCGGTTGTGCGATATGGGGCGTGCGATCTGGGGCGTGCGGGAGCTACGGAAGCCGCCGGGTGCGAGATTAGAATGGGGAAGTGGCGCCGGGCTCGCGCGTTTCACGCGCCGCCGCCCGTCCGAGGTGCCCCCCAATAGCGGCCTCGTCGGTGCCGCGGCGGGGTGTCGCCGGTGTACGGGCTGCTCGGCGGTCTCTCCTCGCTCGTGGGTCAGGGAACGCGGTCAGCGACGGTTCCGAACGTGGGACAGGGAACGCGGTTCTTCATTTGTGCGTGCGGACAGGAGGTACTCACGGCCCGATGCTTGGCTTCGCACTCTCGGGCGTGCGCGGGTTCACGCGGTGGGCTCGGGTGCTGAATATTATTCGGTACGCAAGGTACTAACTAGCGCAGTCCTCTCTCTCTCTCTCTCTCTCTCTCTCTCTCTCTCTCTATATATATATATATATATATATATATATATATATATATATATATATATATATATACTACTACCACATAGCTGGCTATAAAATAACTTATTCTATAGCCACTTAGAGTTATGATAATTACTATGTTAATTTACGATATTATAATAATTCCTTACTAAGTGGTTTACTATAACGTTATGGTAAATATCCCATGTTTTATATAGTTAGGGGACAGAAGAGCTAAAAAAAAATGCATACAAGATCAGAATGCAGTACGACAGTGGTGCATGATCGAGCCTTTTTTTCTTATAATATTAAAAAAAAACAGTCAAACAGAGGTGACGCATCATACCAATTGTATTGGATTGGAGGAGGATCGGATCAATCAGTGATCAAGAGAGATCAGCATGCATGCATGGCCCATCTGCTAGGTGTTGCTCCCTAGGGATCCAGCCATTGAGGTAGGCAACAAGCAGGCGGTGGTTCTCGAGATCACTCGCGGTTTTGGCGCCTTCTCTACGGTGCGGAAGAGGAAGAAAGCTAGCGAGCTGAGAGCTTGAGAGGCTGAGACTGCGAGCAATAGCATGCATGCACACCGCCGACCGCTAGACAGTGCGTGCGTCTTGTCGCTCCACCACCTCGGGATTTACTCCGTCTCTTCTCTTCTCTTCTCTTCTCCTCTCAAGCGCACTCGCTCCCAAGCAGCGTCTCCTTTTGTGATTGTTGTTTCTCTGCGTACCAACTGCGCCATTACTGTTTGGTATCCTATGCTATCATATTTGTGATCGCCGCGGCATGAGCATGAACACTAGTGCCGGCCAGTTGAGAGCAGACCAGCAGGAGGAAAGAACTGGGTACGGTGGTGTATTGTTTTGGGTGTCTGCACTGCATTCACATCGATGGGATGGAATGGAAGAAGGAAAAGGGCGTACGTATGACCCGACGCTGCTGTCCCCCCGCCCACCTTACATTCCCTACGATTTCAGGGACGGCGACGATTTGAAGACCGAGTTCCGAGGAGATCAATCGAGTACTCCTACTACATCAGATCAGAGATATGGATGATCCGTCCATGCACTGCCTCCTTTCAATTATTAAGCCTCTACGTTTCAGTTTTTCTTCAGAGGCCAAAGCCATTTGTTCACTGTCACTCGCTCCAGACACTCCATACAGAGATGATTCGATCCATGCATGCATGCAAGTGTCCTATAAGTACAGTTTGCTTGGCAGAGCGTAAAGTGGAGTGAGTGATCCAAGTGATCGAGGGCAGAGCTCAGCTGCCCTTCTCATTCCTGATTCTCGTCTACTGATCCCAATGTAGAAACTGGCTAGATGGTTTCGATGATAATTTTGTTCAGCGTGGCGCCATGTTAGCCACAAGATCGAGAGGTAAGTCCGACAATAATGTTGATGGTTTATACTTTACCCAAAAAATCTTTATTTTTTTTAAATCAAAACCTCATTTGAAATCTTTAAAAAAATCATAGAAAACTAGTTTTTATAGATGAAAAATTCATGAAATTGGTTTTGATTTTTGTTTCCGTTAGAATCGTGCTATATCTTATGTTGACTAGCTTGGAATGATTTTAATCTTATAATATGGTCCAATGAGCAATTTTGACTGGATTCAGAAGTCGGAGGAGAAGAACAATCCGGTTTTCGTAACAAAGCCCAGGGTGTCGAGCAGGCCTAGAGCCCCCCATGTGTAGTCCAGGGTCCAAATATGGGCCCACATCAGTTTCGGAGCAGTCCTAATCGGCCCACCGGCCCTTTTGTTAGACACTTGAGCCTCTGCCTCTCCACGGGAAGGAAATGCTCGCGCGCGGGCAATCCCACCCTGCTCGCCCGGTGGCGATTGGTGACTTCTGAGTTCTGACTTGGTGTAGCAGCTCAGAGATGGTGGTGATTCCACATCTTTTTTTTGTTCTTCTTCTTTTGTCAGCCCAGGTAGCACGCATGCGTTTTCAGCGCGCGTTTAGTTCGCGAAAAGTGCGAAATTTGGCTACTGTAGCAATTTCGTTTTTATTTGGTAATTAATGTTCAATCATGGACTAATTAGACTCAAAACGTTCGTCTCGCAATTTTCAACCAAACTGTGCAATTAGTTTTTATTTTTGTCTATATTTAATGCTCCATGCACATACCGCAAGATTCGATGTGACGGATACTGTAGCACTTTTTGGGAAAACTTTTCGCGAACTAAACAAGGGCTCAGACAACTTCAGAGGGAGCAGAAGAAGCATTTCGCCAGCCCTGGTGCTGGTGGCTTTTATTTTCCCCTCTGTCCCCAAACATGTTTTTGCAGTACTACTGCATGCATGTTGCAGCGGGTGAATGAATGGATGGATAATAAAGAAAGAGAGGTTGTCTGGGGACACGTGGGAATATACATAGCAGAGTGAGCAGTACTAGAGATGAGGGAAGGTGCAGTGGCAGTGGTGTTGGGCCCACTTGGCAGGCCCACCTTGTGTGTGACGTCGCCCATGCTAGGGGCCGCCCACGAGGTTGCCGCCACGTCGTGCGACGCATCGCCTCACCCTTCCCCCCGCGTTTGTCTTGTTTATTATTTATTTATTTATATTTATTATAATAAGTATAATAAATAATACGGAAAATGATATAAACAACAATTGTGCTTTCTATCTAATAAGAAATGACGATTGATAATATGTAGTGAAATAAATATACTACTCAGGATGACGAGGGTGGGACAGGACAGCCAAGGATGAGAAAGACCCCAACGCAAGTCAGAGTCAGGTGGGCAGCCGGACACGTCACGCGTCTCTATCCAGTAGTAGTAGGCTTTCATGTTCACCGGCTGATCCTTCCGGGCACGGGGCACCCTATGCGCATCAACCACCTGTCTTTGTCGGAGAGGATGAGGCCATCCGCCATCAGGGGATGCATATTGCAACTGCAGTTGCTTCTAGTAGTGGCGGAGTGGAGAATTAGATCGGTGGCCGCATGCATCTGCACCCAATT